TTGAATGAATGAATCTCAGGATGCCTCTTTGGATGGAAGTTTCTGAGTAATGATTCTGATAGTCAGCTCAATTTAGGATAACATAATACCAATTCTCCAGGATATTCCGTGGGGAAAAAGAACCCCTCCTGAATTTATTCAATGTGTATGTATTAAACATTCTCTCTGTGTACCACACAACACAAAAGTCTAGAAATGGCTCTTGGAAGAACGCAGCAGTTTCTCAATTCTCTTAGGCTGAAGCCTGGAATCCTTAGGGTGGCCTTGAAATGGTGTAGTTTGGTTCCTAACCACCTTTGTTACTCCTACCCTTCTTACTTTTGTTTTCAGGGCTCTAAGCCCTTGGACATGCTGTGGGTTCTCTCAGCTACTGACATTTCAGTTCTCAGATGAGCTTTCTCTCACTGAAGAACCGTTGCTGGTCGGTCTGTCTGAAATGTTCCTTACTCCTTACCTCTAGTCCCCAATCTTCTATTCATTGTTCTCACTCTAGCTTGAGATTTTTTATTTCTTCCAGTAAGTCTTCTAAACTAGTTCAGGGTTCTTTGCCATACACTCTTATTGTATCTTATTTCTTTCCTTCACGGAATAAATCTCGGTTGGTAATTACCCTGGTAATTCATTGGTATGATTATTTGACATCATTCTCTGACCCCAGAATGTTAACTCCATGATTTTGCCCACAATATTAGGTACATTGCTTAACACAGTGTTTGGAATATGAATGGTTCTAAATCAACATAAATTAAAAGAGAGAATGCTTTCAAGCAGTTGAATTTTATTAGTTCTGTCGAAGAATGGTTTAGATGCTGCCACATTTTGATCTAGTAAAAAAGTAATACTCTCCATGTAGATTTTCTGCTCACAGAAATTTAGTTTTGTATGTGGGTAGTGGAAGATGGGAAGTTTGGGATTATATTTACACTGGGGGTAATAGAAGGTATTACATTTTCCTGATGTAATTTACATTTATTCAGTTTAAAATATATTTCATTAACTAAAGAATCACTGCTTATTTGGCTTGGTTATTCTAGAATTAGAATATCACCGGCAATGATCAGTATCTGCTTCATATACTAACAGGTCCTCTGTTAACCGTGAAAGTTCTTCATAAATTCTGGACTCTATAAAGACCATAAAAAGACTCAATATAGAAGAATTGAAGTCACACAAAAGATAAGAACCAATTGCAATTTACTAGGCAGTCAGGTTAAGCATAACTGTATACACAGCATTTTGGAAAGGACACACACCTCTGCTCCTCTGCTAACAACTTTCAGTCTTTCCTGTCATGGAGCTCTGTTTCTCCCGGTACCATACAGATCATCTTCTTTATTCTTAACCCAAGGGCTGTGATCCACTGATTTCCTTTATTTCCACACTTATTCACAATTTACCAGGTTCAGTAAGAACATTCACTTAAAATCAGTTCCTTGTTGCCAGTAATAGAGAGTTCTTAGTCTGTTTGAAAGTGTGCTGTGCTCAGTCTTTAGTTACAGAAACTTCGCCACTCTCCCCACTGCTGTGTCTACTGGCTTGGTTCCATGGACTGCTGGAACTTCTAATATGAGTTCTCTGAAAAGGCTGGCACTCCTGCAGCCCGTGGGGCAGTGGCTGGTCTCTGAAACCAGCTACCTCTTTCTGCAAAATGCTGCCTGCCTTATTCTTTTCTATGCTGTCTGTCTGTCTTTGACTCGGCAGCCTCTGTGTCCTGATGTGGCAGTGGGAGAGTTGATCGCCGGTGACTTTTGAAAGAGAGGTACAATTTGCAGATTAAGGTTAAGCCACGTGCCAGTATCAAACAACCCTTTGACTACTCCTTGCCTGGGGTTTCAGTATAATTGTTTCTAGCTCACTTGCATGTGCTCTATGTTAGAATGTCCTTCCCTCTTAGCCTTGGCCATGCAAGGGCAGACAGATTATTAATTAAAGTAATTCATTTATATTACCAGTTTTTTTAATCACCAAAGAAGGAATTGGAAATCTATCAGGGAAGTTATTTATTGAGAGTTTTTTATTGATACAATAATTTATCAAAGATTTATGAAAAAAATTTAAAAATCTCCAAAAAAGAAAATTCTATCAGCCAAGAAAGTAAAAGGTATGTCTGTGGGTAAGAGAAGTAGTCTGTTTTGGGCTGGCTATGTAAGTGACATCAGGGATACTGAGGATTTTTCATCTGAAAAATTAGGATATAATATTGCAACTCACAGGAAAGGCTGCCTTAAGACAGACCTGTGTGGCTGAGGGGACTTTGTCTCTTGCCCTGCTGTATTTGTCCTGATACTTACTCCAACATCTTAATCTGCTTCCCAATTTGGATCTGTCTATTCTTCTTTCTCAACTACCATGACCTGGAGATCATCTTATTTCATATGCTTGGGCTGCCATTTCAGCAACAGCTTTTCTTCTTGGCTTGGGCCGCTCTTTGCTGGGTCCTTTGGCTCAGTGCCTTTGACCTTGGGTGGCTGGGACTCTGAGTCTCTCTGGCTTCCTTCCCACAACAAGTAGTGACTGTAAACTATAAGACACTGCTTTAATTATACAAAACAAAATTATTTCAAAATTCATTTTGAAAATGAAAATTGAATATTTTAGCCTTAAAAAAAGATTTGGGAATTTCTCAGCTCATTGAGTTGGTATATTAGATCAGTGATTGTGACTTAGAGCACAGAGAAAATTATGAATTATTTTTCATCACATTTAAAAATATTTTGAAAACTGATATAAACAGCAAATCAACATTTTCCCTATAATCCTCTTTCTTTGCTCCAGGAAACTGAAAAATGGATTATAGTTGAAATTTTATATTTTAAGCTTACGATCTTACTCCAGAGCTTCTGGGATGCCAATACTGTCTGATCTTTAGCTACATTATCATCATTCTCTTCACTTAGGAGATCTATTATAAAAATTTTATGCCTCTCTGGAGGCACATGCTAATATGTTCTTAGTTTTGGAGAAGCCAGTATATTCTAAGTAGAAGACAAAAATAAATGTTCTTTTCCTAAAGAAGTTATGGGTATCAATGACTCCACAGGTATTCTATTCAAACTTCTACCCAGGACTGAAACCGAATCAGCATTCCAACCTGGGATAGACTGTTTCAGTGAGACTGAAATCCCATTAGATCAGCCAATCAAGAATCAATTTTGAATCACTAGAAATAGGAGGTCAGGCTTGGGCTTGACTATGAGGGTAGCATAGGCAACATGGGTGGGATTCTTCATTGGTATGTGTGTGTGTGTGTGTGTGTGTGTGTATGTGTGTTTGTAAGAGGAACACATAAGACTCGCAAGCCAGGAATACATCTCAGCACAAATCTATTGGACAGACAGGGAGCAGACAAGACAAAATCAGAAAGGCAAGAGCCAGGCTGGCTTGAGGGAAAAACTGTGCTTAAAGAAGTGTGTCACCAAATCTTTAAATGAATGACAAGGAGTTTCTCTTGCCAGTCCAACAGGAATAAGTCAGGCAGTAAGGATGGTTTATATCGGTTTAATTGGGTCAGTGTCTCCTTTAACCAAGTCTTCTTGCTCTATCTTGGGAGGCATGTTCCCCACTGGAGTAGCTGGTGATTTCTTTGGCAGCTAGAGCCCAGGTGAGTCCCTGAATTATTGTCTGGGTAGTTCTCTGCGACCAAGTGTAGGCTCTCTATAGTGGGTTCTGGGGAAAGCCTTCCATCAAGAGGGTTGGCTGGTGTCTGGGTCCAGTCATGTGTTAAGGTGGAATGTCTGTCTATATGGCAGCAGGGCCCTGGCTTTGGACCGGTGGCTCTATACTTGTCATCTTGTGAGGCATCAGAATTACCATACTGAAACCAGATATCCGGGAGGGCATGTAATTCATCTTCTTTGTATCATTCACTTGCACGGGGGACCTGTGTAATAGTACATCCTTCTGGTAAATTATAGTATCGTGTTTGGTAGGGAGAAGGAAGAACCCACAAAAAATGGGGTGGTCAAAAATAACAAAGTTTACAAAGTGCTTTCACATACATTTTCACTTGATTCTCACAACAACCCTGTGAGGTAGGTACAGTATATGATGTTTTTAGTTTTATTTTGCAGAGAAAGACACCAAAGACCAAAGAGTTTAAGTGATTTTCCCACAGTCATAAGTGCCAGGACCCAAACTTGAAGCCACGTTTTCCAACTTTACAGCCTGATTCTACCCAAGAGTGGCTACAGTGAGGGCTACCAGTTGGATGACGTGACAGGAAGGCGCTTTACTAAGTTAGTGAGTATCTGACTTGTTTAAAAGTCGGGTGGTTTAGAAATAATACATTAGTAACCAGAATCCATAGGATCCCCACTTGCAGGGGGTCCCCTGGGCGCTGCTGCCTATTGGCTTGAATCATAGTGGTTGCTTTGGCATATTAGAAGATCATCTGTGAGTCAGCCTGGGCAACTAGGAGCTCCTTGGGTAGTCAAAGAACAGAGATGAGGGATTTCTCATGGCCATCATTACAATGCTATAGCACTCATTATGCTGTTTAATTTTATGACATCCCCGTTGGAATGTAAACATCTTAGGGGCAAGCCTATGGCTTCTTCATCATTGTAGTTTCAGAATTTAATAAAGCCTGGTTACATGATAGGTCCACAATAAAAACTGTTTGAGTTTGTGATGGGTTGGGTGTTTTATGGGATGCTTCCACATTTCACCTGTGTGAGATTGATTTGCGTGGAAGAGGTATTATAGATGAAAATGGAACTGAGTAAAGGGATTACTCCATTATTTTGGTGGTGAGGAGTACACACAGGCACTGCTCTTTTCCAGGGTGCAATCTCACGATCCAAGTGATCTTTATCTACAATGACGAATTTACTAGATGTGGATTCAGACTGGAGGCTCTACCTTAGCCAGGGATCCATGCAGAATGCAGGTATGTGATGCCCACTGGAGGTGAAGGCAATGTCCCTTGGCACGGAGAAAAGTGAATCATCAGGGCAAATGTGAAGTAGTGTTGTTTTAGTAATATGGAGAGAGATCTGTGATAAAATTCTCCAAAGATGGTTTATCACAATCACCAGTGTTTCAAGAGGGATGGAAGAAGCCTCTGTCTTTTTCTGGTTCAATTCTGCCAAGGCACATTCTCCTGGGTCCTCCACATCTTCCTGAACACTTGGCCATCAGAAGTCCCAAGGCCCACAGTTGAGACTGTGGTGAATCTTAAACAGGTAGAAGCTGGAGGACACAGCTGCTGTGGTACGGACTTGGACCTCAGTGTGAGTGCTCCTGACCGGGACACATAGGTAAGATGTCCACTGCATAGAAGCATCCCTCCAAGGCTAATGGGCTGGCCTGAACAAGACCCACAACCTTTGGTTGAAAAGGGCAATCCTTTTGTTGCTCTTCTACAAGTGGATCACAACAAAGGTTTTTGGGTGTCACAGCCTGGTGAGTTCAACTTCCTTGAACTGAGTAAGAATTTTTAACTTAGGATATAGTACATCAGCTCACCAGTTTTGAATATTCAGGATCTATTGAGTCCTGAAATCGGTAGGTGGGAAAGTGATCAGCAGCTGTGGGGCTGGTATTACGGATCATCCAGAGGACCTCCCAGTTGTGATGACTGGTGCAGGCCATGACCAGATGCCTGGCTTCTCCAAGTATTTGTGCCAAGTTTCAAACATGGCCTTAATGGCCAAGCATTCCTTCTTTCAGATGCCGTAGTTTCATTTTGCAGGGATGAAGCCTGTGGGGAGAAAAAGAATAAGGTCACATCAAGCTTGATTTCGCACACAATTTGGCATCCCATGGTTCTACCATTACTTACAAGGCACTGGCTCCACTTTAAAGGTCCATTGTAAACAGAGTGGAGCATGTTTACAGCCATTGCAAACCTCCCATGCTGGGCTTCACACATTTTCTGGACTCCAGGTAGCTTTCAGAAAGCAAGGCATACTGACTGCTCTTTCACTAGAACCTGTTTAAGGGAGGGCCTTGGAGTTCAGCCAGGTCTGGATTAGGATACATTGGTAGCTTACACTGGATAGGGCCTTGGGTATCTTCACCAGAATACAAAGTCAAAGAGGAAGAGAAGACTCATACAGAGTCAAAGTTGGTGGGGATATACAGTTCCATTTAATACCTGCAAACTGCTTCTTTAGATCTTGACTTTTTGTTGTTAGTTTCAGACCACACATATGCTTTTGCGGCTAATAAAGAGAGTTCTATAAAGCCTCTTAAAGTTGTAATCACTAATCAGATTTGATATTGCCAAAAATATTTTAACCTACCTATTTAAATATGTGATCTTTCTTTTTAATTGAAGTTAGTTGACACACAGTGTTATATTAGTTTTAGGTGTACAACATAGTGATTAAACACGTTTAAGTATCATGCTATGCTCACAAGGGTAGCTACCATCTGTCACCATACAAGCTATTACAAATACCACTGACTAGAGTCCTTATGCTGTACCTTTTATCCCCATGAATTATTCATTCCATAATGGAGATATTTGAAATCTCTCACTCCTCATCACCCATTTTGCCCATCCTTCCACCTGCATCCCCTCTGGAAACCATCAGTTTGTTCTCTGTACTTATGGGTCTAGTTACGTTTTTTGTTTCTTTGTCCATTTAAAAAAAATTTTTAGACTGCACATATAAGTGAAATCATATAATATTTGTCTTTCTCTGTCTGACTTATTTCATTCAGTATAATACACTCTAGGTCTATAAATGTTGTTACAAATGACAAGATATTTTTTCTATTGCTGAATAATATTCCATTGTGTGCATATGGATATATCCATTCATCTATCATTCATTCAACATTTGCTCTTAAATAAGGAACTTTCATCTTTCTTGAAACCTAAAGGGTAGACCTCATAATTCAGCCTATAATAACAGAATCATAAAAATTTAAAGCAAAAGCAGGAGCTTTGAACCTATGCACAAATCATGATTTTTAACTTTGGACAGCTTCTGAGAGTGTGACCTTTGCCTTCTATGACTTTGTTAGAAGAACTCATGCCAAGATTTTATGTTTATCAAAATCTTTGATAATCTTATAGAATTAAGAGGAAAACTAAATGTTTTTCATTGTGCTAGTGGACTGATAGTGCTTACCAGTTAATTAAATTAAATAACCAGTTATTTCAGTTATGAGCTAAAAATAAAATCATCTCCATAGCTCCATAGGCTTTATACACAACAGAATTCCTAAAGTGAGCCCTGTGAACACTAATTCCAGGAAATGGGTTTTGTCATTAACTGGATTAGGGAAACACTGCTTAATATTTACTGTTCTTGATTTAAATTATACAAGCTTTAAAGCTCTGGGAAGTCTTGTGGTAAATAATCAAATTTAATTATTATAACTCAGCATTTTTTCCAAATTTCAACATGAGTTAAGTTTTTGAGTAATATTTATTAGCATTTTATAGGAATAATGCTCCATAGCATAGATTTTAGGAAATTTTGGACAAGAAAAAATGTGAAAAAAATACTCAATTAAAAAATACATGTTTCTCATGAAAAATAAACTAAGCAATTACTAGTTATTTATTACTAATTTATTACTATAGTTGTCTTAAACTTAAGTTAGGTTGTTTGGACAATAAGAAATGCACTTGTATATAACATGAATTCTGCCTTTAATAGGCTTGTAACTTAGGGAAATGTTCATCACACAGAAAGTGGTGTTCAACACCTGAAAATTCCATATAACCAACCACTAAGTTATATAATGTAGACTTATAGTAGCTCCAGAGAAAAAGCTCAAGTATTGGAACAATGAAGGAAGTTATCTTGGGGAGGTAAGACTAGTTTTATGGGGATGGCTAGAATTTTGATGTTGAAGACGTTTTTATTTATTTATGTATTTATTATTATTTTTTAATATTTCATTTATTTCTGAGAGAGAGCATGAGCAGGGGAGAGTCAGAGAGAGAGGGAGACACAGAATCTGAAACAGGCTCCAGGCTCCGAGCTGGCTGTCAGCACAGAGCCCAACTCGGGGCTTGGAACCCATGAACCCTGAGATCATGACCTGAGCTTATATAGGACGTTTAACCGACTGAGCCACTCAGGTGCCCCGAGGGTGTTTTTAATCAAGGGCAAAAATACACAAACTTTTAGGGTTCTTTGACTCCTAGAAGCAGGTAGTGTGGAAAACAATACTTTGTTATATTGTTTTCTTTTTTAAGTTTATTTATTTTGAGAGAGAGGGAGTGTGTGTGTGTGTGTGTGTGTGTGTGTGTGTGTGTGTGCATGAGTGGGGGAGGGGCAGAAAGAGAGGGAGAAAGAGAATCCCAAGCAGGCTCCACGCTGTCAGCACAGAGCTGGTTGCAGGGCTTGATCTCATGAACCAGGGAATCACAACCTAAGCTGAAATCAAGAGGGGGAAGACTAACCAACTGAGCCTCTCAGCATCCATATGCTTTGTTACATTGTAATCATTTCATTCCCACCTATAGACAGAATGTTACAATATATTTTTCTTTTTTTTGTCCTTACACTTCTTTACATTTCTTCTTACCTGGTATATTATAATGAGTAGTTAAATTATCCAGTGTCTGTGATAGTCTCATTGATGGTAGGGAGAGTATTTTATTTAATGTTATACTCTTGGAAACTAATACCTTTGGCTCCCTCGCATTTGGTCCATAGTAGGCCTTCAATAAATATTTGTTGGCTACGTGAGGGAATCAATGAAAAAAAACTATATGGCAGAAAATTGTCTACAGTGAACTGATTTTTCCATCAGGGAATAATAAGTAGATTGAGCAGGATCAGAATGTGTAGGCTTTTATAGGCAGAAGAATAGGAAAGAGAATATTAGTAAAGATTTTTAACAGCAGTAGACAACACTGCTGAAAGCACTACTTCTGAAAACTCAAACTGGCAGGACAGACATGTTGGAATGAAGGAAAAATGGACTAGGGATCAGTGGAAAGTATCCTTAGAGCAATCTAGTTAATGAGCGGATAAGGGCCTAGAACCAAAGCACTAAGAATGTAAGGGAAAAGGCACAAATGCCAAGCAAATGAATCTCTGGAGTCGGTTGATACAAAAAATCAAGAGGCATTTGTCAAAGATTATTTTGTAAATGTAATATTAGTTAAAATTTATTGAATCCCTGTTAGAGTTTGCTTCAGGCACTTTGGTTTAACTTCTAATTCAATCTTGTTTATTCTCCACAACAATTGTATCAGATAAGAGCTACTATCATCTCTATTGTACTGATAGGGAAATAGATTAGAGAAGTTTAGAAATGTGTTCAAAGTCATAGTGCTAGGAAGCAGCAGCCCCACCTCAGAGCCTACGCTCCTAGCCCCGGCCACCTTTGAAGACTAGAGAGAGAGACACATTAGTAGAAGAAAAGAGACTGGTTTTAGGTATTTGAATTTTGAGGCGATCATAAACTATATCATTGGAAAGATTAACATCGTATCTCCAAGAGCTTGGAGCTTGGCTTAATAAATGATCAGCTTTTCAAATGGTCTGTTAATGTATTGTTTAAAATGCAGCCCAATCAGTCACGTAGAAGAGGGTTTCCCTCAGAGAGGACAGGATACTGTAGGAAACCGAGAAATGCTTTCCGAGGGCACACCCAAGACAGTGCCATGGAAATGTTACCCAAGGCAAGTTGCAGTCTGCCAAGAGCACCATGACCTCCAGGGTCAAGACTGACTGACCTTCAGGCTTGTAAAGCCTGCAGTTAGAGTGAATTATTTGATCTGCAGAATTCAGAGGGCCAAGCAAAACCTGGGATATACTTTTTTTTTTTTTTCCCTCTTTGACCAGTTCACTGGGGTTGTTCAGCCTGGGAGCATCACACACACCCAGCTCCTGGGATTTGGCTGCAATGTGGTGGATGTAGTGTTTCATGTAGTTTTTGTTTTTAATCTTTAAGAAAGTCTTCTGACTGCATTTTCCGTTGTTGCTTAGACACTTTGTGGTGGGTTACATGCTAATCACAAAGTATACAAAAAAAAAAAAAAATGCAACCACATCAACTCATATGGTGAATTTGTGTGATATATTTGAAAGGGGCTGATTTTGAAGGCAGAAAAAACTGAGACCAGGGCTATCAACATTCAAAATTGTGACTTAGGTTTTATTTTTTTCTTTATCATGTTCCTTTGTTTCTCTCTCTCGCTGTCTCCCAGAATGGACTACCTAGATAATTCATTGTAGAAATGAAATTGAAATCACATAATTTTATTTTGTTATTACTGATGTAACAGAGTAGAGCATGATTGCCTCAACTTTTAATGTTTAGAATTTAAATTAGTTTATTTGCTTAAGAAAATGAAAGAAAGCTGGAACTGAGAAAGAGCCTCTAAATGAGTTTGAAAGGTCACTTTAGTTAAGGCCTTATGCTTTCACTGTGCATAAATGGGGCAGACAGGGCTTTTACCTTTTCCTTCCAGACTGCTGACTGACTGAAATCCTTTGTTCAAGCAATGCCATCCCAGAGGCGCTTGGCACAGTCCGTTAAGAAAACCTGACACACGTACCTAAACATGCTTGTGATCTTTTGCAAATATCTTTATTTTTTTTAAATTCAGTTTTTGTATCAAATACAAATTAACAAATGCTACATGTGAGAATTATATTACATTGATGATATATCAGTAGTCTAGGACATAGAAGTAATGTAAACACATTAGTAAAGTGGAAGTTAGAAAGTCTCAGGTAAGCAACAAAATGAAATAAATATCATAATATTGGTAGATCCACACTACAATTCATTTGATCTGTGTTAGGAAATCAACACCAGCACGTTAGATTATAGCTTCCTATGCACTGGAAACAATCTTGACCCTACTATTTATAATGGTCATTCTTTTTTTTTTTTTTTTGAGGATTTTTTTTTTATTTATCTTTTTTAACAAATAGTTTATTGTATAATGGTCATTCTTGATAATAAAGACTTGTGTTGAAGTTTTAAATATGCCTCCTTTTTAAATGATTTATAAAATTTTTATTATTTTTGAGAGAAAGAGAGAAAGACAGAGAAACAGAGAGTAGAGAGTGGGAGTGGGAGAGGGGAAAAGAAGGAGGCACAGAAACTTAAGCAGCCTCCAGGCTCTGAGCTGTCAGCACAGAGCCGGATGTGGGGCTTGAACTCACGGACTGCAAGTTCATGACCTGAGCTGAAGTTGGACTTAACCGACTGAACCACCCAGGTGCCCCAGAAGTTTTAAATGTGCCTCTTATGTAATGTTCTTAATCATTTCTAACAAGAATAGCCTTTTTGATCGCATTTTTTTCTTTCTCTTTTTTTCAAGTTTATCTTTTTCCATTCACTGTTAATTTACTTACCTCCAAACCACCAAAATTTAAAGGCCATTTTCCATTACATGATTACAGTGAAAGCAGACCTGACATTACACTTTCTAGCTCTAGATAATTTGTGCAGAAGTTCAAGAACACAATCCCACTGGGATAGTAAAATTTGTTTTAGGGGATTTATTCCTTGGAATATGCTTTTAACAACACAGAGTCAGAATTTGGGGGCATTAGTTTCAAAGATGAAATTAGCATAGGCTAAGAAAATATTTCCTTATTTTTCAGTTTTTTGGACCATTTATATTTTAATGTTTTTTTAATTTATCATACAGAATGTATCAGTTGCAGAGACTGACCATGAGCTCTGACCCTGAAAACTAAACGTGTAAAAAATATTGCAAATAGAAATGGAAATTCACACATGCTTTAAATAATGAGCACAGAAAATACAATATAAATACTGCAGCAAAGATGCTAAAGCAATGCACAGTTAGAAGATTTTGATACAAACACTATTGATTCATTAATCGAAAAACCAGGCTAAATGTATTAACTTAGGACTTTGGTAATTTGTGCTTTTAAACACTGTCTTTTCAATTCTTGTGAGGTAACAGTGATACCTCATGAAATCTGTTCCTTTTTATGTACAACACACACATACACACACACACACACACACACACACACACACACACACACACTCATTCTCACATAGAGTCAAAGTCAATGGCAGTGGGTGGTTTATGTCAGGGTTGGTTTTGACGCCCCTCTCCCAGAATAAGATAAATGTAAGTGATGAAGAGCTCCTGGGGTTGGTTGAACTCATTTTGTATTCAACACTCTGCCTGGCCCCTTTCTCATCTCTTTCTCCCTCTCTTTGTATGTTCAAGCCTACTTGAGTTTCTTTTTTCTTTTGTAGAACTTGGTTCTTTTGATGTGTTTCAGGGCACGCCCTGTGGCAAAGAGAACTTCCCAGGAATCGGAAACATAAGCACACAGGTCTGAAGCAGCTACTGTGTGAGAGCCAGAAATATTCAGGCCAGGAGCCGGATTTTCTCTCTCCAAAACAGGATCAGAACAGATAAGAGGAGGAGCAAACATGCCATAGATTCTACATATATTGTTTTAACAGGATGTGTGCTGTAAAATTTCATAATGAGGTAGGCATTTGGTGAGATTTTTAACCTGGATGGAGCTTGTGATAGTAATTTCACCAGAGATGAGTTTATATGCATTTATATATTTGTTAGTTTAACCAAATTCCTTCTATAACTTACAGATTCGTTTGTTTCCATTTCACTGCTGTTATGGCCTCAGCATAGCTGACATTTTCAGTGGTACCTGGTCCTATCCATCAGAAAAGGAGCTGAGAAAGTGCAGTGCTTTAACTTTCTATTCACTTATTTATGAGGTTCAAAGAAATGCTGCTGTAAGTATTGTCAGACTACTGTTAGAAGGCATGATCTACAGTATTAATAGAAGGTCTAGATAGAAGGAGGAGTTAATTTTTTATATCCCATATCAGTATTACTATTTTCATAAATTAAAAATATTTAATAAAGGGGTGTTATGTCTTATTTAAAATATCTCTGTTTACTCACATATTATACTTTATGTGGCAAATCTTTCAGGACTATGTCACTGAATTAGAACTTGGAACTGAAAATAAAAAAAAAAACACAGAAGATAAGGAAAAACAGTGCAGTTTATGTTTACATATATACAAACGTATCACTTTAAGATGATTGGATAATATTAAATTCAGTTTTTACCCAAGTCTCTAAAAGAAACCTTTTGTTTCTAAAACCTAACAGTTGGAAGAGCATAGTAACTAAAATGTAGTACTGATCTGGTTTGATTGATTTAAGAGAACTAATCTGTATTAATTAGGTGTATAGTTTACTTTTGCATTAATGAGTTCTCACTCATGTATGTGTATCATATATATATCATATGTATATATATGTATCATATACATGATACATATGATATATATATGATACACACACACACATATATATATATATATATTGCTAGGCCTACTGAAAAATAATACGCAACTAGCTGAATAATCCAGGGAAAAATGGAAATTTGATGAGCAAATGGTAGATCATTTTCTATTAAGTTCAATTCAGTTTAGTAAACATATCGAGCACTATTTATGTATTTGTGCTAATAACATTACCTATTAACTCCTAGGAAAATAATTAGTGGTGTCATTGAATCCATTCAACATTTTCTAACATATTTAATGCTCAGATAGCAAGTTCACCAGCTAATTGCCCCAGTTCTTTTTAACTTTGGCCTCTATATCCACAGCTTAAAAGAAAGAGAGAAAATAATTTCTGATATAATTCAATTATTCAAATATTAACCAAATACATATTTTTAACAATAATATGAAAGGATAGTTTTAACAAATTGGGAATAACCATAAAATAACTTTCATAACTACAATGTCTCTTGAACTTCTACTGCATATATCAGAGTTTCTATTTATGAATATTTGTGTAAATATCTAGATGTCAGATATGAAAAATTTCTTTGATAATAGAAAGGCTGGGGAGTTAGAGCACTCATTTAAATGGTATCTAGAAAGCTTAATGGGTCTGTTTTATTTAAGCAAAAGCCATATCCCTAATACAACTACAATACAAAGTAGCACTTTTATCTTTCTGATGCGATGTAAACTGATCCTCTTTCTGTCTTGAATGTTACATAGCATTTCTAGATACTGAATGCTTCCAAAATATCTGATCCTGAATTTAATAAGCTATGCAGGTGCATATCTGAGATTGCAAACACTTTCCAGTTCTAGGCCGTGGCTGCTTGCAAAGGGTCCTATCATGTTCTCATCCTGTTTATATACATCAGTGAAAGCCACAGTTCTGAAGGAACGATGCACACAGGACTTTTCGGTTTACATAATCGCAGCTGTCACCCTGCATTGCACCGGTTGTCACCTCATATGCTCTAATGGTGCTAGAAATCTGGTCTTGCTATGGTTGTAGTTGTTTTCCCCATCTTCCTTCTTCTCTGCAGAGGTGTTACCTCTGACCCACAAAATGATATCACAATGTGGCATGCCAAGTGTCAGACTAACATACACTCTTCGTATTAACCCACACCCAAGGAATACACGTGCCTTTATTTTTTAAATGTGCAAAATTTAAGAGAAATTTAGCCTTGTAAAATACATGGATGAGTTCTAGACCTAGTAATGCTTCCATGTAGTTGACTAATGACTAAAATAAAATTTCCTGAGTGTCTCACTGAAAAGTTTTACAGCCGTGTTTAGAGAAAGCTCTTGGGAAAACAGACACCTCTGAATTTTTTCAAATATTTTTCTTTTTAAACAAAAGCAAAATATAGCAATTTGATTAGAAATTATCTGACTGAAAGCAATCAAATTTTAAATTAAATGTTTTATTACATAATGAAGGAAGGGGTGTTTACTTGAAATCTGAAATCCACCCAAGTAGCACTGTAACTTTTTTGATTAGGTTTACCCGCTAGTCACACTATCTCTATTTCACTACAGGAATTGTGAAATGATTCAATTATTCAAAAATTTAGTTACTAGTTAGCTTCCAATATTTTTATTTCTTTAAAAAATAGATAGTTGCTTGGCTCAATTTACTATTTTTTGTTCATTTCTTTCTAGCTCTTCATCTCTTCTCTATATGTCTATGTGGATATGATCTAAATATTTTTCTAAAAGAACAATGGGCTGGTATTTTGTACAGATTCCCCTTAAGTTCACTATCAATTTATAGGGACTATAAGGATCATCTGTTCCAAGTTTTTCATTTTACAAAGGAAGCTGACTTGGAGAGTTTACATGACTTTTATCACTCAGATCTAGTAACATAGTAGGTCCTCAATAAAGATGTGGTGACTGAAAAAAAACAATGTAGAGTTACATAAATATAATACCATATTACTTACAATATTGTATTGCAATGACTTGTGTATAATAATAAGCTTTCATAAACATTCATGGCCACAACATCACCACAAGGCAAAAATCATTACTAGAATCTATTAATTATAGGAATTATTTATTTACTTATTAATTAAAAAAAATTTTTAAATGTTTTATTGCTGAGAGAGACAAAGAGACAGCATGAGCAAAAAAGGGCCAGAGAGAGAGGGAGATACAGAATCTGAAACAGGCTCCAGGCTCTGAGCTAGCTTTCAGCACAGAGCCTGAAGTGGGGCTCGAACCCAGGAACCTGAGATCGTGACCTGAGCCGAAGTCAGACACTTAACTGACTGAGACACCCAGGCACCCCTAATTATAGGAACTATTTAAAGGGCAATATAATTGAGATTCAAGATCATTAAATGGTTTTCCCAAAATCAGGCAGCTAAGCAGTGGAAGAGCTTAGATTTGAACTCACGTTTTCTGATTCCTGAGCCTTGGTGAGTAACCACTAATACATACTGCCTATAGCTCTCTCTCTTCCCTTTCTCCATTCTTAGATAAAGGAAGGAATTGGTGTTATTTATCTTTGTAAGCCTAAGTACTTGGATGATAAAGAGTCCTCAATAAATGACTGAAAACGAATAAACCTAACTGGTCCAACTTTCTTCTGCACCAACACTCCATTCAGAGGGTAGGAAGTGGCATTTGGGAAGGTAGAGGAAGACTGTTATCTCAGAGGTACAGAAATGCTTCAAACCATTTAAACTAGCAAAAATTATTCTGTGTTGTCAGTAACATATGTACGAACAATTCTGCTACCTGAGCAATTTGGTTTAACGAGGACAGAATTTGTTAGCCGTTCCCTGATGCCCGTGGTACATAAGTGTACCAATTCAGCAGTAGGTGCACAATGCATCGTCTATGAGCTCACAGATGATTTAAACTTGACTTGGGGAATTCAGTCACGGTCATTGGTGAGGCTCTCCTCCACCTCCCCCACACGTGTGTGCCCTCAAATCGAGTTTGGGTCATGGTTCTGGGTCTTCAAACACAAGCCACCGTGTCTAGAGGTTCCTCTAGTCATGGGGTCCACAGAGGTTTTCTAAAGAGATGCTCATGTTTCAGGATGAGGGAAGAGTCCCTTCCAAGTTCTAAGGCTTTGATGCTTTTCCTCAGATTTTGGAAGTAAGACTATTTGGAGAGGCTTGTGTCCTGCGGTACAAGCCTCCTCACAGGGTCTCCTTTCACTGACAGCTCCCTCTCCCCCAAAACGCTTCCAGAGTAACTCTCTGGCATTTCTACCTCTCCAGATATTCTAACATCATCTCTGAGAACTTTAAGTCTGTACCAAAGGCAGGAAAAACACATGCCAGCTCTGCTTTCCACTTTGCAAAACGCCCCAGGCAAAGAAACACAATGAGCCTGGCTCTGTGCTTGGAGTAGAAGGAGGGACAACTGTAGAAAGCAGAACATAAATCGGTGTTTCAAAAATATCCTGCCACAGATGCTTTTGGAATTAATGTATGAGTGGTTTTGACGCAGTCACCATGATGGAATTATAATTGCTAGTTTGTGGGGGACTTCCTTTTTGTCTTTCCAAGGGCACCCTGCCTCGGTATCTCCCATCAATAGCTGTTGAGGCGTTTCTCTGCAGGGCCTCCGGGAAAGGAGCTCCAACACATCACAAATTCTCTGTCCTGGAGGAGCTAAATTAGAGCTTCTAGAGAAAGAAGTTTTATTTTAAAATATGCATTAGAAGTTGGAATATCCTTGTTATAAAAATCTCAGAAAGTGTGCACTTTGACATGTAAGTGGAAATATAACAATATTATAATAAAACACTGAATTTGAATAGCAGCACAATATCCTTTTGGAAGTACATTCCCACGAAGGCCCATTCTTTTACTTTGCAAGTCTCAGGTCAAATATTACTGCCCAAGGGAGGCCTTTCTGATCACTCTAGCTCCTACTTTATTTCCTTCACAATCATTTCACTATCTGTAATTAGCTTTTCGTGCAAAGCAAAGTTCTAAGATGGTCCTCAAAGTTCCCGCATGCTGCTATGTGAGTTCTGTCGAATCTCCTCCCCTTGAGTGTGGGCAGGACCTGGAAATATGATGGAGTATCACTCCTGCGATCAGGTTACTAATCAGTTCACTTCGAGTTAGTCAAAAGTCAGATCATCTGGCTGAGCCTGACCTAATCTGGAAACCCTAAAAGGAACTGGGCTCTGTTAGGGTCATGAGTCATCTTGAAGCCCAAGATGGCCCCTGGAAGTGGCCAAGTGGAAAGGAGCTGTGAGCAGCGTTTGAGAGCTGTGAGTGGCCCCTGACCAGTCAGATGTCAATAGAAAAGAGGCTTCTGACCTACAGCTGCAAGGAATGGAGTTCTTTCAACACCAAGTGAACTTGGAAGAGAGCCCCGTGGCTCCAGGAAGGGGTGCAGCTCAGCCAACAGCTTTAGTCCGGGCTTGTGGGACCCTGACCGGAGAACCACCTTGGGACCTTCCACACACTCCCTCAACTCTTCTTCCCCCAAATCAGCTCATAAAGTCAAAGCAATCCTCACACAGTTTTCACGTGAACTACTTGTGATTAATATACTTGCTTTTAAGACCCAACTGACTGCAATATACACAAATTCCTGTGTAGAGTGTATTATTTTTACATTTCAGTGTTAATGGTATTTGTAGAAATCAAGAAGAAGCCTGTACTTACCCATCTGGTTATAAGAATGATAATAAAAATAAAAATATTATGTTAAAGGGATACAATTTTAATTAAAAAATTATATCAAGCACCAAAGGTAAATTTCAAATGTTATATTATTATGGATTTATTGGGACTTATTTAAGTAAGTGTCAAGTTTAAGTTTAAATTGTAGGAAGATGTCCTTTAGCAAAATGTATGCTATCAGCTTTTAGTTTATATTTTTGTCTTCTGTCATTTTACACATAATTGAAACCTGTCGTTAAGGTAAAAATTAAGTGAACTGTATATGGCATCCTATTGATAAGTATTGTATACTTTATATACACACACATAATCTTTTCCTTCATGATGCTTCTGTAAATTTTTTAGCCTTATGGCTTTCCCTAAAGTGTTTTTCTTAAAACATTTCTCTTGGGTTTTGAATTTTTCCATGGTTTACAGAATACTACCATACACTAAGGTAATAGCATATATGAGAAGAAAAAAGTTATTTTTGTGATAGTATCCAAAATAAACAGGATTAAATATATCATAACGATTTGTAATTCTGTTCATTATTTTCTTAAATATTCCTATCTCTATGCTAAAAATATCATATATGAAAAGAGTCACTGATATTTTCAAGCCAAAATGAAATCTGATGTGCTGGGCTATTAGAATTTGTTTTCTAAAGTAAATAAGACAGCAATCGTAATTAAGAATTGTATAGGAGTGCTTAAAGATGGTCACTTGGGGCCTGTGAGAATTATTAGTTCCTCTCATCTTGCTCTACAGAGTCTTCCATTCTTGAAGAATATCCTAGTAGAACAACAGATGCCAGGAACTGGAGGAAGGGAGGGGGCTGGGGAGAAACAGAAAAGAAGCTGGCCAGGCACAACTTAAAGCCCGAGGGCATGTGGCCATGTTACTTAATTTGAGCTGCATTATGCAAAACAAAACAAAAATTATCTGCAAGTTGGCAAAGCCTGCTGAAAGTGCAACATGAGGAAGACACCAAGTTAGCACGCAGCAGATTTAAGACATGCTCGCTGCGGTGCTTTGAAGAAAGCAAGCCGCACGACCCCCATCCTCAAGCATAAATAAACTCCAAACAGACTCATTTGCCATGAAGGATGAAACGTGGAGCAGCCGTGGCGCCTGGGTCTCTGCCTCTCCACGGCTCCTTTCCCCAAGTCGTTCTGGTGGGTTTTGTGTTCCAAAGTTGTCCCTATGCAAACAACAGGTTGAATATTGTAGGTGTGGGTTATTAAAGTGTCCCTGGGACAATGGCGGTCTGTGTCCCATTTGTAACGCTTGGATTATTCTTTGGAAAGTGCGCACAAAATGTGACACGATGTTGGCTTCCAACATTATTCAGTCTGCATAGCAGCAAATCCTGCCCTGTCTCCCTGGAAATAAAACTCCACAGACGTATCACTGCCATCTAAAAAGGAACCTCTCAGTTATGCTCAGAATTAGAGACACCCTGATAGAATTTCTGTTAGGAGTTTGAGTTTATATTTTGGAGAAGCATTTTTGATGGGAACAAATTACGTTCTATTGTCTTATTCAGTCTCCCCAAAGAAAATCTGCAATCAGGTGAATCATACACATACACACACATATATATGCTATAGATGGGAAGAATCTAGCTTTCTAAAGAAAGCCTTTATCTTTCGGAGAGAATTCCACATTACTGTAGATAACTCACAACTGGTCCTGGACAAACAGGAAGGATGCTTGACATTATCCCTCTTCTCACCTCATTTTTTCCCTTTTGACTTTTGCCAGGGGGTAAAAACTGTCTGAAAGAGGCACGCTGAGAAGACAGGACATCCTTGGAGCTTCTGAAGCTTTGAGACTCAGCCTCATCTCATGGTTTATCAGAAAATTCTCAACGTAGGTGTCTTGTGCACAAAAGGACTAAGTGGCATTGCGGAATTCAGGCAGATGTTTTCTCAAATCATTTGGTTTTAAGTGCATCTTGATATTATATTATTTATACTAGGTTATTTTAGAAGACAGTTAGAACTAGGACTATAGAAATAGACAAAGCACGTTCAATTGTAGACAACCATCAATGATGGTTGGAATTCCCACAGAACCAAGTTGGAAACCAACTGCCCACATAGGAAGAATTGGAGGTTGCCTAAGAAAATGGAATTGGTGGGGGAAATTCAGGGCTTTGTTGCAGAACAAGAGCTTTTAAAGTATGTTATAAGTCAATGTTCTTATCTCCATGATTAGAATCCAGTTATTTCCAATGTGGATTTTTTTCCTTGTCTTGTCTCTTCCCTTTTCCTTCCCTTTCCTTTTTGTTTCATAGGGAAGTAAGGCATCATCAACGCAGGTTAGGAATGGCTTCCCTCAAATTCTATGGTATAGATACTTTCTCCTGGTGGTTTTGTATGGGTCCATTAAACCACCAAAGTGGTTAGCCTAGAACAGTCGCCCAGTTTCCTCATTTATTGCCTTGAAGCAAGTAAATTTCATAAATTTTAAGCTATAGAGTAAATATGTGTTAAAAGACTGCTTTAATCTGTTTGGCATACTGGATATCAACCTGAGGCTTAGTTTGGAAAAGAACATTGTTTCCATTGGAAACATAGGTTAAAAGAGTCGTTACAGAGGACTGCAGCTAAATGGCATGTACCCTGCTACCCAAGTTACCTAGAAGAGGTGAGAAGATCTGCGAGATCTGAAGTTCCATGCTTTAAAGGGCCTGCGTGGAGCAGATGCTGTAGCAGGTGAGCAGAAAACGGGTGGTCCCTCCAGCTGGGGCACCCTGATGACCACGAACCCTTCTCTCCGCCCTGGCTCATTCATGTAGATAAAGTGGGTGATGCTGAGACTGTGCCTTGGTCACAAGAGCCTTTGTTACACAGACTTTAAAATTGCCTGTTGCCTTTTCCAGACGTGTCTTTCTTCTTGAGCCTTATTTTTCACCCGTGATATGTCCACTTGGACCTGGCCTTCTGACAGATGCGACGATTTATGTTGTTCTGATGTTCACTTTATTCAGAATCAACGTAGGGTAGGAAGGGAATGGTAGGATCACCTGGTATGAGTTTTGTTCAGGGTGGCCAAGGGTAAAAGAAGAATATTGATGGCAATGTGGATGGGGGAGAAAATGACCCAATTCATAATTTTGCATTAGCTAACTCAATTTTCAGTTTTCATCTTCGGGGTTTAATAAGATGAAACCCAGACTTCCAAGAAGAAGGTGGCTTAATGAGGTACACAGAGGAGGAGAGAGAGTCAGGATAATTAGAGGCATCACCCGATTACCTCCTAACAACACTTTCAGGAGAAACAAGCCTTCCCACCAACTGGTGAGAGAGTTTGAGAAGAGGACAGTAAACCTGAATTTACTTGTGCTGAGAAAGCCTTTACAATTGTTTTTCCCCCTCAAGATTTGGGCAGTGGGTTGGGGTTGGGAAGTGTCATAGGACTTTATATATAAATTAGGAATATACGAAAATAGCATGGACAAACCATAATCATTTATTATTTTTATTTCCATGAACTAAGAAAAAACAATGACACAAAATGCCACAACCTTTCAATGTTTTAGAAGGTATACTAAGTCATTTGTATGTGTAGGTTTTAGGTACGTCCTTGTAAAGACAGTAAACATGAAAATAACCGAAAGGATTTAAACGATGGGCTTACATACCCCTAAAGAGAAGTGTAAAGTACTTTTAAAGTAATACCTTTTTCAAAAGAGGTCTTGAATCTTTTCACAAAACGCTATTGCTTATAGAAACCTGAGAGGTCAGAGCTAAAATTTCAACGAATGGTACCACAGCGCCACCATCTGGCTTTGTAAATGACAGCAAGGGGTTACAATGTAATAGAGGAGAACAAAAGTTAATGTTTTCTCTTCCCTAGAGAGCGATTGGAGAAAAGAAAATAAGGGTGTCTCTGAGCCCTTGTACTTCTCTCAGCCCTGTAGCCTTGCATTTGTCACTGTGTCAGCTAACATCAAATGTTTACGGTGTCAGAAACTGCCCCGATCTCTTTTCCTGTTGCTATTTTAATTTGAAGAATAAACACATTTTTAGTGGAGAAGACCTTAAAAAATGAAATCTCTTTAATGTTAACAGCCTTTGTTTTCATTTTTCTTGGACAGAAGAGAAAGACTTTTTTTAAAACATTAAAATACTGTATTTTTAGTGTTAGTTTGTAGAGCTCCTGTAAACAGGCTTACCTCACTCACTATTTTCACCTTGGCTTTGGATATGATTGTTTTGTAATGCTGTTGAAGCTGCTTTGCATTTTTTATGTTATTTACTTATTCCTGCTTTGCGTTAGTTTTTTCAAGTTAATTTATTTGTTTTGAGAGAGAGAGAGAGAGAGAACAGGGGAGGGGTAGAGAGCAAAAGAGCAAGACAATCTGAAGCAGGCTCTATCTACACTGTCAGCGCAGAGTACAACGCAGGTTCTGTGCTGCCGCCCTTGATCTCAGGAGCCATAAGATCATGACCTGAGCCCAAATCAAGAGTCGGAGGCTTAACTGACTCAGCCACCCAGGCGCCCACTTCTTTGCATTCTTCAAGCTCAGAGATATTTAAGATGAAGCATATTTTAATACATAATCAGAAGTACAATTTTGACCCTGAAGGTGTGGTCAAATAATTTTATTGCATAGTTTACAGTCTACTTTCTCTGGAATAAAATGTATGCTTCTAAAATTTGAATGCTTTAATATTTTCTTACTTTATACTGCAAAGTTCACAGGATTGTACACAATTGCTAAGCAATAGAGTGGCAAATGCATGTATTTTCACTTGTACATCTCTTTCAATAAAGACCTTACAAAATTGGCTTGAAAGAATAAATGTTAGTTTTTGCCATACTTTGCACTCTTGTAGCATCTATGTTTGATGAATTCCTGCATTATATTAAACAGAAGTGTGCAGAGTAATAACATTATAACACTGTTTTGAGCCTACTATGAACAAAGAAGTGTTCTATGTGCTTTGCACAAAATCTTTCAAGGAAACTAAGGCGTGTCCTGTTGTTATTTCTCTTTCATAGATGAGGAGAATGAAACAGAGACATCAAGTAACTTGTCTAGAGTGGCACAGCTGACAAATGATGACAGCTGTACTTTAGTCTCTATACTGATAACTACTTTCTCAGGATACAGTATTCTAAAAATATTTTAAATGTCATGCTCTCTCACATTACTGTATCTTCTCTTTGTACAAAACCTAGTGTAGAAATATTACTTTTATATCATTTTATGAAAAGTATTTCAACCATGTAAATGGTGAAACATTTTTTGAAGGCTAACCTAAAATGCAACCATTATGTATATAGCCTCCCTGCCCCAAGAAATCATATACCGTGTGTTCAAAATAAGTGACTTATAAATGAACTTCTAGAAATAAACTTTTTGTAAATTGAGGACTCTTTTTTACCATCTTTTCTATCTATTTTAGATTCTAAATAATCACTTCAGAGAATTATATTGAATTATTCATGTTCATTCTATTGTAGTGTGTTCTAAAAAGTAATTAAGGGAATCTGCTGTTTATATTTTGGCTAGATACAGAGAAACCCCACAGTTTTTTAATATTTGTTCAAATGTTCAGAATTTTCTAAAACTCCTTGGAGGTTCAGATACTTCTGAAACTTATACTCTATCAACTGTAGAGAGTCTGTGGATATTTAAGTCATATAACAGCCTCCCAAGCTGCTCTTTTTAAAATTAAAAAAATTGTCTATTTATTTTTGAGAGAGAGAGAGAGAGAGAACAAGCAGGGAGAGGGGCAGAGAGAGAAGGAGACACAGAATATGATGCGGGCTCCAGGCTCTGAGCTGTCAGCACAGAACCCAACACAGGGCTTGAACCCACAAACTGGAGATCATGACCTGAGCTGAAGTTGGATGCTTAACCAGCTGAGCCACCCAGGCCCTCTTCAAAACTACTCTTAAACTGATCTTATTGGAATTTCTTTTCTTTCTTTTTTTTTAGCATTTAAATTTATTATTGAGAGACAGAGAGACAGAGCATGAGCATGGGAGGGGCAAAGAGAGAGGGAGACACAGAATCTGAAGGACGCTCTAGGCCCTGAGCTGTCAGCACAGAGTCCAATGTGGGGCTTGTACTCACAAACCACAAGATCATGACCTGAGCCGAAGTCGGAGGCTTAACCCACTGAGCCACCCAGGCGCCCCTCTTTTTTCAAATATAGTACAACGTGTCCCATATTCAAATGGAGATAGAAAAATATGGGACCATGCAGCATATTTTACTATGATTTCAGTCAGTATTTTAGGCAGAAGAAATTTGACACCAAAAATATCATAAAATGTACTTTTTTGGTGCTGAATTGGAAAATCGATTTTGACCAAGATCCTGTTGAGGTCACTGGCTAAGTTCTTTTCAGTATAATGGATATGGGGTGGCATTAGCTGAATATCAGCCTAACTTGTCTATGAAGTGAAGCTGTAACTGGATCATTAGCAATTTCTTTATTTAAAGAATTTAAAGAATTAGTTGGTGTGGAGCTTGGACATTATCTGCAATATTTCTGGCATTTTTACATATAGCTATGGCATTAATATTTTCCTTATTTCCCATCAAATTTCAGAATAGCCAAGTTAGATAAAATTCAAAAGCTTAAGAATAGCAATTAAAAATCATTTCTATGGTTAATTACTGAAAATTTGAATTAACAAACATTAGGTCATTTATCTCGTATTTGTATTTGTTGATTTGGACTTTTGCAAGCATACTAATTATCCATGTTTAAGCTATTGCTTCGGGGTAGTATAAATATTAAGAATAGAAAGACTGTGAGGAGAAAAAAAGTAATTTCTCTGCTCCCTGAGGATGCAGTTACAGAATAATAAAAAAAAGATGATGTGTTCTTCCATCCTGTGGCCAAGGAACAGTTCAATTCAGACTTGAGGGGTAAGCCTATTCTACCTAGAGCTACCACATGAGGGCGTAGGCAGTGATCACTTTTCAACAGAACCATGAGAAAACAAGTTTTAGATTTCCTTTGTGTATATGCTGCGTTTTATATAAATACAGTGATATTGATATAAATAATGAAGTAAATATTTTCCTAAAAGAATATTTTCTGATAGAATTAAGTTGTGTTATTTTTATTATATCTAATTGGAAGCCACTAGTTTAAGTATCCCTGAATGTATCCTTAGATCGTACAACTTTGCTACTCAAAACTTCTATTGCCCATTGAATAACTTTCCATCTTCTTATCCTGAGGCTTTTCTCTTTTTATCCTGAGACTTCAGTTCTGAATGTTCTGGCTAAACCCAGCTCCTGCATTTTCAGTGTGTTGCTGAATATATCCACTTGGATATTTTACCTTCATTTCAAGTATGATATTTCGAAAAATAAATATCATCTTCCATTCCACCTAAAAAATAATTTCCCTGAGTGTGCTGTTTCCCTCCCCAGGTACCCAACCTAGAATCTCTGTTGTGATGTTTGAGTGTTCCTTTTCTTTCTATAGCTAGGCCAGCATTAGTAGATACGTGCGTGTGTTTCCCATTTTAACTTGACCTCACCATAACAATGACCTTATTAATCTCATGACACTCAGTTATTCCACAAGTAAAAATTCAATAACCGTCCACATGCCAGATACTGTTTTAGGCACTGAGGAAAGAGAAATAAACAAAAACCTTGGCCTAATTTGCCTACATTATGATAGAAAGAGACAATAACAAGAATGTAAATTACATAGTATAAGGTGACATGTGCAATGAAGAGAATTGGGCCCCCTGAGGGGAGATGGGAGGTGTTGGGGGAAGGAGTT